GGACAAAGACAGAGGCGTGACACTGTTGAATCGAACGGAATTGTGTGGAGAGAATAATGACAGTTCTAAACAAAAGAAACAAAGGACTGAAAAGGAAATTATTTGCGAATCACAGTGGAATTACAGCTTATCGAATCCCTCGATGAGTTAAAAGATCAAAGTTACTTATTGAAATCTGACTTCGAGTAATCAAAACCAATTGGGACCCATACCCATCGAATTTGCGGCCTACCGAATCTTTATAAAGCAGGAACACCATTACCACTTAGTGTTAGATATGCCAAAATGTTCTATTCATTCCATCGTCAGCTTGTTCGTAAAACGTCTGCAACCGATCAAAAACCTGCAAACAAAGTTTGACAGTTAATTTCACATTTATCCGTTTGATTCTAGTCACGGAAGCAGAAGACTTGACAATGAGCTTGTTGGAAAATTAATCACTTTTTATAAATTTGTTACCCATTGAGACGGTGTCATAGCTCTGACAGTACATCGATGAGGAAAACATAAAACTAAAAATCCCAACTAGAACTGTAAGGGAATTATTACCATGGTGTGTAGTGGATAAGAGATCATCTTGTAAGGATACAATTCACAGACCGACGGATGTTGCAGCTACGCTCTTCTCAATCATCCGGGTGCTGGCAGATGTTCTTCTAGTCAGGCTGAAAAACAACGGACATCATTCATAAACCTCCCACATACTGTCCTTACGACGACCATATTTTCATCCTTTCCAAACAACAGGTTTATTTTCTAAATATACTGTTGGTGAATAAAAATGCCGATTGCCACATTGAAAACAAAGTCCCCCAGGCTGAACAAACCGTTTTTGGATAAATTCATCAACTGACCATTACAATTACACAGGATTATTTCAATTTGTCGATCTGGCTGTGATCACATCAAAGTATGCTAAGATCCTCATCTGATCCCCATCTTGATATAATGTTGTCAATGAGCGTTGCGATCTAACTCAATGATCGGAATACGTTTCATTATCTCGGCATGAACCTCAAGAAATGGACCAAACAAAAAAATATGCTAATTGATTGAACACACACGAGAATGGAACAGCCAAAACACTCATTTCCCAAATTTCTTTCACATAAAGTGTAATCGAGACTTAACACGATTTAGGGCTCAAAAGATGGGCTCCATGCGGTTATTCGAGAACGAACTAAGCAACATCAAATTCACACTCGTGAATGGTGGATATTTGGAGCGGTTCACAGAGCAATACCTATTGCAATTGTGGTCAAAAGGAAAGAACTGTTCCCCATAAAAAGAGAGAAGATAGATGGAATGAGTAATCAAACGAGCGTATCGAGCCACCAGTTGACGTGCTACGTGCATAAGCCGACAAAAGCCCTGTATAAAACGAAAGTGCAAGTTATGTAGTCTCTCCTCATATTCTGTTGCGTATTTCTTCATTTTCTCCTATTGGGCAAGTTATTTAGGGAAAATAATGAGACAGCTTTCAAAAGAGATCAGAGAAAATAAACCGGCATGACTAAGCACAGGTTGAAAGAAGGTAAACAGCCGGCACGATTTTTGCCCCTCTCGCTAATACC